CAGGTTGAGTAAGTGTAATGAAAGAATACAACCTTGTCGCACACCTTTTTTAATTTTAAAACATTCAGTGTTTACATGTTCTGTTTGAACAACTGTTTCTTGCTGTGATTCTGAAAGCTGTGCCACTGGTATTTTTAAATACCACCACTCTTCTGTCAGCCAGTATTTAGAGATTAAATATTTAGTTGTTTTTTATGTAGTAAACATTGTGAAGTGCTATTGAGTCGTTTCTGACTGCCAACTGTCAACTTTACAATTCAAACTGACCTTGAGATACAGTGCTTATCCTGAATTCCATTTTTATTTTTTTAAGAAAATTTTTAGTTTTATTCTTATTGAAAATATACACAGCACAAATACACTGATTCATTCCTACATGTTCATTTTAGTGACATTACTTTCTTCAAGTTGTGCAATCTAGATTCTAACCTTTTTCTGAATTGCTACTCTCTCAGTTGTTGTTGTTAAGTGCCGTTGAGTCGATTCCGACCCATAGCGACCCTGTATAGAGTTTCCTAGGAGCAGCTGGTGAGCCTGAATCACTGACCTTGCAGTTCAAACGGCTTTGCATTCTGGTGCATTAACCCACAGTGCCACACCAGGACTACACTCTCTCAATAGGCATGGCTATTTAGACATTGGCTATCAAAAATTGGGAGGGGGGCGCTATAAAAGCCTGAAGTGACTGGTTTCTAAGCTTTCATGGGCACGCTTAATTAGTTTCAGAATGAGGGAGTAAGGTAGAATCCCCACTGAATAGTTTTCCTCTTTTCCAGATGGATCTGGTAAAAGGGGATCAGGAATGATGGTGATAGGATTTTTTATTCAGTTGTGAGTAATTTTGAGCAGAATTAATTATGATGATCAAAACTACCATTGTGGAAGATGTGTAGCAAAACCATTGGAAACTACTGCAATTAGAGCCACTCTTCAGGCTTTTGCCTCCCGAATCAGCGTTGAAAGTTTTGCACTGGTGACCTCTAGTGGTAATTGTATTTAATAATATCTGATGTCCTGTTATTATTATGTGCAGATTTTTGCATAAATCTAGGTGATATATAACCAAATAAGCAACTTCATCTGTATTCATAGGAAGAAAAAACTATGTTGAAAATTAGAGATACACATATGTTATCTTGTATTTTCAACTGAAATTGAATATAGAAATGTTTTTGAAAGTTTCAGCCTTTACAAAATTTAATAATACATCTCAAGTTAATTATCTACCATATATTATTGAGATCAGAGTCACTAAAGCATTATTAAAATTAGTTGAGTTGGGCAAGTAAGAAAGTGAAAAATGTTGGTGGTTTAAAAAGTTCTTTCTTTATTGAAGTAACCACACATTTCATTATAGAATCTTTTACTCCCCTTTACTAAAGGATAAGGGCTGTGTCCTTACTTCCTAGACCAAATTCTTGAGTGTGAAATTAAAATTTTAAATCTTCTTCATTGTGCAATATTTTAAAAATATAAAAGTGCATAAAACATAATTGCACAGTTTAATTTTTTTAAATGAACAACTATAATGCTACCCATGGTGATGGTGGTGGTGTACAGTGGAGTTGGTTCCAACTCATAGCGACCCTGTACAGGGTTTCTGAGGCTGTAAATCTTTACGGGAACAGAATGCCTCATCTTTCTCCCCGTGGAACAGCTGGTAGTTTCGAACTGCTGACCTTGAGATTAGCAGCCCAATTAGTAACCAGTAGCCACCAGATGCTACCCATGGAGAGGTCAAAATAGAGGTAATAGTTTGTCTTTCTTTTGGTATTGTTTCTTTGTTTTTATTTATAATTCACCAGTAAACTTATTGTTAGGTGACTCATTGCAACCATATACACAGCCGAACAAAAGACTTCTTGGTCCTCTGCCAGCCTTACAATCTTTGCTAAGCTTGAGCCCATTGCTGGTGCCACTGTGCCAGTCCATCTCGTTGGGGATCTTCCTCTTTTTCCCTGAACCTCCACTTTGCCTAGCATGATATCCTTTGCCAGGGAATGGTCCTTCCTTACTATATGTCTTAAGTATGCTAGACAAAACCTGGCCATCTTGGTTTCTACAGAGCATTGTGGCTGCACTTCGTCCAACATAGATTTGTTTGTTATTTGAGCAGTCCTTGTAACTTTTAATAATCTTCCCAAACTCCATAACTAAAATGCATCAATTCTTCTACGGTCTTATTTATTGTCCTACTTCCAAATGCAGATGAGGCTGTTTGAAAATACCATGGATTGGGTAAGGTACACCTTACTCCTCAAACTGACATCTTTGCTCTTGAACACTCTATATAAAGTGTTCAGATTTGTCTAATGCAAATTTTTTTTACTGCTGTTTCTGTAAATGGTTTTGATGGTTGATCCAAGCATAAAAGTGAAGTCTTTGACAATTTCAGTATTTTCTTCATTTGTCATGATGTTATTTACTGGTCTAGTGGTGAGATTTTTTTTTTTTTTTTTTTTACATTGAGGTGCAATCCATACTGACAGCTCTGGTCTTTGATCATCAGTAAGTTCGTGGGTGAATCAAAAATTATCTGCACTCCTGTTATATTAAAAATGTCCGTTCACATTCACGGCTGCTGACAGCATCGATTGTGTATGTGAATAACAGTGGATTATGTGGCAAATCATTTGCAAATCAGCTGTGACTCTGTTTATGAAATAATCCTTGACAGACTTGGGTATTGAAAACTGTGTACGAGATGGATACCAAAACAACTCACAGAAGAGCATGAACCAGAAGTGTTGGGACATCTGCAAAGAAAGTTTGGCCTGATACTCAGAGGAAGGTAAAAGTTTCTCTAAAATGTTTTTTACTGGTGACAAGAAGGGGTTTCATCACTATGACCTGAGAATAAATGGCAGAGGATGGAATGGAAACATCTTCAACCACCGACCAAAAAAGTTCAAAAGTCAACCATCAGCTGGAAAAGTGATGCTTACAATTTTCTGGAATTCCCCATCGAACTTTTACCTGTTTGGTCCCCTGAAGTCAGCCTTTCGAAAACAAAGATTCACCTCTGATGAAGAAGTGAGAAGACCCCGGTGCATTTTATAGCTCGCAGGTGAGCCTTAAACATTTTTTAATAAGGGAATATGAAAGCCTGTTGACAAATGAACAAAGTCTATTGAAAAACAAGGTGATTATGCTGGAAAATGATGTATTTATGTTTCCTAAAAATGGATTAAAATAAATTTTACAACCAGAGTGTGGATAATTTGTGACTCACCCTCATAGTTCTATTCTCAGAGTTGTGGACACTGATGTTCACTTGTTGTACTCATCAGCTGGACTGATTGATTTCAAGCATCTTCAGTTTTCATCATTCTTCTGTCTTCTGCACATGGAGAAACTAATAGTTGCACCTTAAATGGCCGTTCATGAGTTTTTTTAAGTTTTTATTGTGAATTCATTGAAAGTTTACAGGGTAGATCATCAGTTTTACATTCAGTAAATCATATAATTTGTTCATTACAATGATTTTAATCCCCACCGTGTACCATCAGTTAACAGCATTTCTCTCTATTCATTTTAGCTCTTTTTAAAATTTTTTAGCCACTCAGGCATATACAATAATTTAAACCACCAAAGGGCACATTCTGCAAGTCTGCCTCCTGGCGCCAGCTCTCAGTCCCTCTCTTTCCATGAATCCTAAGCTGCTCCCTCTTTCCATGTCCCCATCTCTGCCACCATCTCTGGTATCGCTGCTTCTTTGGATGAAGTCCCACATTTTGCTTGTGCTCTTCTCCTTTGATGGTCCTAGGGTCCTCTGTTTTTGGACTGTAAGATTAACCACTCCCCTGTTTTTGTTACAAAACTTCTACCTTTACAATTGTGACAGTTGCAGTTAGTCATGATAATAATTACTATTGAATCATAAGAATCTTATCCCCATGTCTTTTTCCAGACCCATCTTATTGTTGTTGTTTTGTGCCGTGGAGTTGGTTCC